CCTCTCTCTCTTTCTTTCCCTTTTCTTTTGTCCTCAACGCCTATTTATAGAGGTCAAGAGTGGCCAGAACGACCCGTTTCGAATCTGGAACGGCCCGTTCTGGGCTCCCTCATTATCTAAAAAATTCACATGCAGAACGGTCTGTTTTGAAACCAGAATGGCCCGTTCTGGCATGTCTAGAACGGCCCATTCCTAAACTAGAACGGCCCGTTCTAGAGTTAAATTTAACTCACAACAACCATGTTTGGAACGACCCATTCCAGTCTAGGATTTACAGGCTTATTTAGTAGTCGGGAATGGCCCATTCCAGTTTGGGAACGACCCATTCTGGGCTACTAAATCACCCTTGTTTTAGTAGTTTGGAACGGCCCGTTCCAATCTGGGAACACTTCGTTCCAGTCTACTAACTACGTTACACAGGGTATTCCGGCCGCAAAGGCTTGCGCACGAGGGTGGTCCGGCCGCAGAGGCGCTCGCACAGGCAGGAGGGTCCAATCGTGGAGACAGGCTTGTTGGGGGTCTGGCCGCGAAGGCTTGCGCGCGGGGAGGGGGTTTCGGTCGTAGAGGCAACACGCGTGGGGTTTCCGGCCGCGGCGCGGAGTAAGGGGTCTGATTGCAGCGCAAAGGAGGGCGTCTAGTCGCGGAGTCGTGTGCGCAGGTGAGAAGTAAAGGTTTTTTTTTCTTAAATTTGTTGTTTCCACCTTGGATCTGGAAAAACCAATCAAAACTCTTCATTTGTACATTTCATAGTCTTAAGCTCCATCCCTTCTACAAGCAACTTTGCCAAAAATTTAAGAGCTTCTCTTGCCAGGTAGGAAAACTCCATTGAGAGTTTCTTGTAAGCACTAGCTCTTATTGTTAAGCTACACTATAAGCACCCCCCACTAAAGGTGCTCTTAGATCATCTGTCAATTAAAAATAAATTAGACCTCCTGGCCTATCTTTGCTGACAAGGAGTCCACAAAAAAATAAATAAAAAATACATATTTATTTTAGATGATACATCTTCTCACTTTTTTTTCAATATATAAAAGATTTACATAAATTAATATACTTAAATAATAAATTAATCTTAAATTATAATAAATTTGGTTTAGTTTCCTATAAAATAAATTTCAAATTTACTACATTATATATATATATATCATATAATAATAAGAGTTTTTCCATTTACGATAAAAAAAATCTTAAATTACATAAAATAAAATAAATCAAATTATTTAAACTTAACATTAAAAATATAAAATAAAAATAAAATAAAAATATGTGGGCTAGTAGGTCAATTCAACCCGACTCGTCATTTGGTTCAAAGAACTAACAAGTAAAGCAGGACAGGTTAGATAAGTTAAGATGATTAACTCGATTCATCTTTTTTTAATGAGTCAATAGATCGACCCATAAATTGTAACTCGTTTTGTCATTCCTAACTTTAACTCAAAATAAAATAATAAAATAAATAAATAAATAAATAAAGAGAGAGACATAAAATAAGATAATGCTATAATAAATTAAGAAAAAATATTTTATAAGTTGTTGCATAATTTTATTATATATGCATGTGATATTTATATTTGAATGACCCGTGTGTATACATCTAAAGCTAAAAAAAAAGTCATAATTGTGAATGGTCACCTCAAGGAGGTTCCAACAAAATAATTAGTTAGACACGTAAAGGGAAAAATTAAACTATAACAACACAGATCATCAATGTTAGGAAAGAGGTTCAAAAACATTTTTAATCACACTAACACAGTAATAGGGGTTTAAGGAGGGCAAGAAATTAGGGTCCACAAAATGTTAAAGAAAGAGTGCCAGAGTTGTGTGAAAAATTTCTATGACAGATCATGCAGAGGTCGTCTTGAAAATTGTACCTTTTTAGATTAATTGGGGAGAATGAAAACATGAGACAAAAATAAAAGAAGTAGTATGAGAATGTGATGTATATAAGAACTCGGGAACAAATGTGTACACCTTTAAATTCATTAAATCATTTCATAACATACTTCCTTTATATTACCTTTTAATACAGTTTTATTAAAATAATTTACCATTTCAATAAATACATTACTTTGATTATATTGATTAGATAATTTATGAAAGAATATATTAAAAAAATAGTAACTAATATTATTATATTAATTAAAAAATAAAAATATCATTCATTTTAAAATATTTTTTAAATATTAAAAGTACAGCCACGTGAAAAGAGAAAATATTATAAGATGACATTTTGAGAATCATGGGTGAATTTATGTCAATGGGGTGCTACTGAAAAGGGGAACTCGTCATTCACAGTGTTGATTCCCAAAATCGAGAATATGCAAAATTTGGAAGATTTGGAACCTATTTTCCTCATAGAGTGCATGTACAAAATTATTGTTCAAGTGTTATTTAAAAAGGGTAGGGAAGGGAAGGTGCTGGTTGATGATGCTAATGATGAGACACAACACAATTTGCATATGTTGGACGGGTTATTTACAACAAATGAAGTGGTGGATGAAGTTAAGATTAAGAAGAAGCCATGCTTTGTTTTCAAGGTTGACTTTGAAAAAATAAATGTATGAGTAAGTGTGCTGGAAATTCTTATACTACGGTATAGATCAAATTGGATTTTGCAATAAATGGATTGAATGATCAAATGTTTCCTCTTTTCAACAACTGTTGAGATACAAATAAGTTTCACATCGATAAAATAATACAAGAAATAATAATTTATATAATACAAAAATACTTCAATGATTGAGAGGTCTTTTAGATAATAACCAAAAGCAAAACCGTGAAGACTTAGGTCCAAAGCGGACAATATCTCATCATTGTAGAATATGTATATTTGTGTAATAACCTTATAAAAATAATACTCATAAAATATCCCCTAAGACAAATAACCAATAAAATAACCCTCATCAGTGATATTAGAGCCGCAGGTTGGATTCGGTGATAACCAATAACCCTTATCAATAAAATAATACAAGAAATAACAACTTATATAACACAAAAATATTTCAATGATTGAGAGGTCTTTTGTTTAATAACTAAAAGTAAAATCGTGAGGGCTTAGGCTCAAAGTGGACAATATTTCATCATTGTAGAGTATGCTTGTGTAATAAACTTATAAAAATAATACTCATAAAATATCTCCTAAGACAAATAACCAATAAAATAACCCCCATCAACAAAAATATTTGTGTTGGTAAATGGGTGATTGTAATAATTCAATTTCGTCCAAAAAATGTTAAAATTTAAAATAATTGTAAATATTACATTTTTTTATTTATTTATTTATTTATGATCATCAGTTAAATGAACAAACATAATTTATGACCATTTTCTTTACTAGATTATCTTAAGCTCATTTTAGATTAAAATTAATATAAATAAATAAATAAATAAAATTCAAAAAAGAAAAGAAACCAAGATTGTGAGAAAATTGCCGCATTGGTTCATGAATTTTAACTCTTATACAAGTTTATTTATTGTTTTAGATTCGTAAAAGATAGTTTTGTTGTTTTATAGTCATGATATTTGGTTTCAAACAATGTGTTGCACATGTTGAGTCTCTTGGTGAGGAAAATGTGATTTTATTAATCGGTATTAATAAGTTTATATAAATATAATAAAATGAATTTCTACATATTAATAATGTGTTACGTTTTGGCATGGTAATTTTCTTTCTCTTTTATATTAACCAATAAACTAACACGAAGATATATAATATTATGTATTTAAGTATTTTTTAAAATATTTGTTAATGATGAATATAAGCAATAACTATTTTTGTATCTTTTTCCTATTTAGTTATTACAATGATTTAAGATTTTAGTGATAACCATTTTGAATCTCCTTCCTATTCAATTATTGCAAATTAATTTATCAAAATTGTTAAACATATTCAGAAAATAAATTCTATAAAAGTATAGTGGTAATCATTTTGGATCTCATTCCTATTTGATTATCACTAAAATCTCATTGAATATTAAATAATATTCTTAATAATAAAATTGAGCACAATAATCATTTTGGATTTCCTTTTTATTTGATTATTGAAAAATTTTATATTGATTGCAATAATCATTTTAGATCTATTTCTTATTTAATTATTGAAATAATTTTTAATAAAATAATTAAAATTAAAAATATCAACTCATAAATATTTTCTACTTACAGGATTACATAAATCTGATTTCTTCATTATACTTGAGGATACATTAAATTACACCATTTCCTACATATAATTGACTTCCAAACTTAAAATTTAGTTTTCAAAAAGATCATTTTCTTTTAAATTTTTTTTAATATTTATCTAAAATAAATATTAGTAACGATTTCGCTTTATTTAGATATTTGCCATCCGATTGTAGTTTTGGTTGCAAAAAAATGTGCTACAGAAGAGATTAGGATTCAAAGATGATTAAAAATGTTGCATCATTTCTACTTGTGATTGTTGTACAAGGATTAGCAATAAGAATCAACTTATTTTCTAAATTATTTCTTCTCTTTGGTTCTCTTTTCTTTTCATTTCTATGTTTCATTGCAATTCTCAACACAAATAAAAGCATGAATAAAAGTATGAAAAATAATGTATTATCATTATTTAATTGAAGAAAAGTAAAAATAGAGAGGAATAAAAAGAAAAAAATTATTTTTATTTTCTCTTTGGTTAATTTTTTTGGATAAACCAAAAAAAAATATTAAAAGGCTAAATAAAAATCCAAGAAATGTTCACTTAACAAGAAATAGAAAAACACAAAAACAAAAATATAGTACTCGACAACATTTAAACCTCCTCAAAATAACCCGATAATGAATACCTCTTCGTGACATATAATACTTCTTCCCAAGACTAAATTTATCAAATTAACAAAAATAATTTCTTAGACGTATCAAATTTTATTCAATACTTTTAGGAAAAAGAAAATAATATGAATTATCTCTTTGATTCAAATTTTAAATTTATCTCTCCCTCTCTTCCCATTTTATCTCCTCCAAAACAATAAGATATATCCAAATAAGAAACCAATCAATCACAAGTTTATAAATAAATAAAAAGAATTTTAGAAGAACATAAATACATTAGAACATCATGACCTTAAATTCATCGAACGTGAGCACACCATCTCCATCAAGATCAAACCTAGCTATCATAACCTCACACTCATGAATACTCCTAGACTCACCTAACCTACTAAGCATCCTCTTAAGACTCCTTGGTGTGATGCAACCACTTCCATCCATCTCATACATCTTAAAAGCCTCCTTTAGGTCATTCTCCTTCTCTTCCTCTTCCCCTCCCTCCACAAACCTCACAAAATCATCCAACCCCACCAACCCGTCCCCGTCGCCATCCAGCATTGCCACCGCCGTCGCCGCATCCGCCGCCGACAACTCCTCCCCCATCGCCTCCACGCACTGCCGCAGCTCCGCCGCCGATATCTTGCCGTCTCCGTTCTCATCAAAGTGCTTGAACACACGTTCATACCGCCTTATTAGCTTCTCCATAATAACATGTAACGCTATATATGTTTCAATTAACTAAACTTTATAAAGCATAGACATATATGAAAGCGTAGGAAGCAAATTCAATGTCATAAGATTGTAAAGGAAGAAAAGAAGTAGAAGAAGAAAATTAAAAGTGCTTGAAAAAATAAGCTGAAATGGAAGAAGCCGAGAAGGTATATATATATAATGATCGTAGTGGTTATTGGCTAATGCCGCGTGGCGTGAGTTGACCAAATAACTTGCATGACCAAGTGCGAAAAATGAAGATTCTGGGCATTTACGTAATTGTGAGGTGTATTGGAAACCATTAATTTATTATAATTAAATGTTATTATTTTTTTTATAAATTTGAATTTTCGAATCTATATATTACGTGAATAAACGTGTCATAATTCAAAATTACCTTAATAACTTATTGAGTAAGACTAGAAATACTAATTGCTAAAAAAAAAAAATAGATATAGAAATGAAAATGTATTTTGGTGGGTGTGAGGAGCCGCCAAGGAATCTTGTGCCACACATAAGCATAACATAAGATGTTACGATTACGAACAGCAAAAGTTAATTAATGTGAGAACATGGACGGATTGTGGGAAAAAGGTTATAAAACCCACTTTTTTGGAACTTTCTAGAAAGTCCCACACCACCTAACCTGTACGGTTCATGAAAGTCGAATGCGCGTGTTTCATGCTGATGTCATTTTCTTTTCTTATATGTCTTCTTCCTAAATGGAATTTTTTTACTTGCTAGAATTTAAAAAATATATATATAAAAACAAACTCTCCCATAATATATTTATGAATGTAAATCGTTTTACTGGTTTTTTTTTTTTTTGTCAGAATTCAATCTCCTAGCAGGAGTCGAATTTTGACCAGCAAATGCACAATTCAATTTATAAGGGCATTGCATTTCTCTTGAATTCGATCCCGGATTCGAACTTCGTGGAGGGATTTAACTTTTTTTCTTCAGTATTTTTAATATATATATATATATATATATATATATATATTGTAACAACCCGCCATGACCGTCACACTGCAGAACAACATTACACACACTAAAATATATATATTAAAATAGTATAATAAGAAAACATATACATTTATCCAACCATAAAAGGCTCAACAGGCCAAATAAATATATACAATGCCAACAAAATGTTATTCCAAGGTAGTCTACAAAAAAATTATCTACTCCAGCTCCTACCACCAAGTGGCCTCCAACAGCTCACAATAACCTATCTCTACCCTGCTCCCATGCATAGTATGATCATCGCAGTCCACACCACATGAAAACATGCAAGGATAAGCTAGTGAAAAGAATCAACATATATTTTAAATAAGAAAGTTTCAACATAACAACATTATCATCATTCTCAATAGGGTCAACATACAACACATGGTAACACACAACTCAATCACAGCTTCACAACACAACAACATATATACAACTCATATCAACATTAATTCAACTCATCAACAACTTATACGTCGTCATGCATTTACAACTCGGAGATCTCCTACAACATGGGTGAGCAATTTAAGTGGCTAGGTCCTACTGAACCGACAACACAGAACCTTTTTGGGCTTGCTAGGTAAATAGTAAATTTGGATATCAATCCACAACACGATAACGATTTTTCAGACTTTACCACTTAAGCAAGGAAGTATAGTATTATGTCAGGATAGAACAGCTAGGTTTAGGCCTACCACAGCATTAGCTAGCTCAACTAAGCCACCTATGGGATTAGCCTACCGACTATCCTCCAAATACTACAACCCTTCGATACTCGGTTAGAAACTAAGTTCCCGACTTCGTACTTTACTCAGATTGGCGCTTGTAATCGGTATAGCTCGACCTGGCCCCTATACCGTAGTCACTTTGTACACGTGTGCCTCGACCTTGCCCACACACAAGACCAACTAAGTCCTAGAGGAGAACAACACAACGTTCATTTCAAGGGACAACTTCCCAAGGAGGGTTTTTCAACAAATTGGGCTCTTAGAGCACCACAACTATCTCAATCCACACAATGGGATGAGAAACTTCGAAAACATCTCCTCTAGTCCTAGTGATCAAAAACTCATAATCATAGCTTAATCATCTTACAACTCAACAGCACAGTTCGGCTCAACAACTTAAGCAACACACAACTTTTCAACCTATTATCTTCTCAATCACCTTTCAACTTGAACAACACAGTCAACTCACAACTTTAACAACACAACATCTCATTTCAATTTTAAATAACACAATTATCATCTCATCAGCTCAACTATCAACTCAACATCTCAATTCATAATTTATAACTCAACCATCACAAATTAATATCTTTTCAACACATAGTACAACATACAACTCTCATTTAACAACTTAGCAACACATTCTACTAATAACATTTTGTATCATCTTAATACATCTACACACTTCACATCATGCTTCTCACCACTCAACTATACCATCTCATCATATTTCACAAAATATAATTAGTCAACACAAAACATAAAACAACTTTAACCACTTAATTTCAACATGCTTCAACAATATCATTTGTTCAACCTATAATAGATCAACACACAACTTGTAAACAACTTCACAACATACAACATATTCAACATGAATTAACCTACACACCCAAAACAACTTTCAAGTTATCCAAATCACTCATTGTGAAATGGAAACCTTTACATAACATAGAATATCGGGAGTTATAATACTCTTATCATGCTCATCCTTATCTCATATGAAATATAAGAAGATTTCCTACAACTCTTATGAAAATATCAAGTCCTAATTCCATCATCTACTTTGTTAAAAATTCTAAAAACTGCAACAGCTATAATCAATGATGGCCGTTTGACCCCTGCCCACTAAAATAACCATATCTAGAGTTCTAGACCTCCTTTTTGGATTATTCCAGTGTCATTGGAAAGCTAACATCCAAGGCTACAACTTTGATGAAGACTACAAAGTCAAATTCTGAAATTACAAAAGCGCTCAGCGTCTCCAAAGAGCTCAGCGCTTTACCTCCAGTAATTCTCGGCCCCAAAGGGCTCAGCCCTTCAAAATGGCTTAGCTGTTTCAAAAGCACTCAGCACTTTAAAACAGCTCAGCCTTTTACCCCCAGGGACTCTCCCCTGGCTCGCGGCCCCAAAAGGGCTCAGCCCTTTAAAACGGCTCAGCCGTTTGTGACAGGAACATAGTCCCTTCACCATTTTTGAAGAACAACCTGCAAACAGAGAATTCCCAACACATGCAACCATCTCCAAACACTTACCACTGTAATAGACAGCTAAGAGTAGCTCAAAACATCAACATGCAACCATAGGATCACCACAAATCATCAAAAACACAACATGCAAACCTACTAGCTTCCCTTACCTTAGAGAAGAAAATATATCCAAGCTTCAGGGAAGAAAAGATGAAGAAGAAGGAGAAGATCTGTGGTTCCAATTAGCAACTTAACGCTCTACTCAACATCTTCACCAACAACAATACAAGAGAGCTTAGCAAATCAGGAACAAGATAATGAAGAATGAGAGGAAAGTGAAAAATGGTGAGGAAAAAGGGAAACAAGAAGAATGACTCTTATGCGATCTTACATATATATATATATATATATATATATGAAACATTTTTCACAATGTAGC